AAAACTCACACTTAAAGAATTTGACATATATCTTGTAGCTCTTAGTCTTGACCCTATCTTTCTTTGGTGGTCCTTGTATTCTTTCTCAGTCTTGGAACAGACAAGAATATCATCTATGAAATGATTACAATGGATCGAAAAAATCCTTGAATATTCGGTTCATTAGATTTATGAAGGCTGCAAAGGCATTGTTCAGGACAAAGAACATAATTGTAAACTCATAGCGTCAATATCAATTTCTAAATGTTTTCTTTTATTTGTCTTTCTTAATTTTTAACTTAGGTAGTCTAACCTCAAATCTCTCCAAAAAGATATTGAAATCTCTTGTAATTGCTTGAAGAGATTGTCACCTAGGTAAGGGATGATTTTCACCTTGTTGAGCTTCCCATGCTATGCATAGATTTGTCTTCCTATTGCAACCGATACCAAAAGTTTGGTCAATGATATGTGGGTAGAATTGACAATTTTCTTTGAAGTTGATGCATGTACCCCTGTAGTGTTGGCAAATGTGCAAGTGCATGGTTGTCCATGCCAGTCAAAATTTATTTCCTGTTTCAATATATTTTTTTCTTTCGAACTTCAATATAATTTGAATTTTGTTGTAGCTAAACAAAATTGTTAATATGAATGAAACTTTGTAATCAAATTTCATTTTACAATTTGTTGGTAGGTTGAAAAACAAGATAAAAATAAACTTTATCAACCTTTTGTAAAGTAGCATTAAACATAATATCAACTCAAAGTGATCTAGTCCAACTAAAAGAAAAACTTCAGTTGATTTTGTCACAACAACCTGATCACCAAGCTACTTGAAGCATGAGTCGCAATCTACACTGATGCGAGAGGGATAAAAAAACGGTAATATATTTTGCTTTCAAATATGGGGAGACTTGAATTTCAAAACATAAAAACTCATACATGTTTATAATTATACAAAAATATAGTTTAAATTTAAATACAAAAGACGAAATGGTATACAAAGAAAGACCCGAACAAAAAACACAAAATTCGGTGGAGTCTCTCAAACCTAGGCTATCTCTATGGCCATCTACTCTAGACCACTCCTATCCTCATGTCGTCTTGTCATTGCTTGAAAAACAATAAAGAATGAGAGAGAGTACAAAATACAAAAACTGATTGATGTCTTGAGATGACCTCCTCTATGACCACGAAACTCTTAAATGTTTTCCACCTCGAGCGACAATCAATAAACACCTGAAAATGAAATATAGAATGAGGTGAGTATAAAGATAATCAATAAGCAACCTACTTCTAAGCTTTATTCGCATTCAATTCTAGTAACTTATCACAGACTTTTTTCTAGGCTCTGAGAAATTCGGGCTTAAATCTATATCTATTTGAGCTTTTGGAAAGACCACGAAGTTTCGAGCAATTCTCTTGTCCATTAGAAATCCACTCTAGGTGTGAAGGATGTTAACACATTTCTTGTTAGGCTATGGAGCCTGATACTTATTTATAGCTTGGTCAACGGTTATATCCGGTAAAGCTATATTTGGTAAAGCTATATATAGTAAAGCTATATCCGGTAAAGCTATATATGGTAAATAGCTATATATAGTAGATGGCTAAATCTGGTAAAGCTATATATAGTAAACTATACCATATATATATCTGGTCCGGTAGAGCTTTGAAGATGTACTTTCTATTATCTGTACTCTCTCTCGTTGTACATACCTGAAATCATCAAATAAAAAAATCCTTTTAGCCAGAGTTCTCCTTGCAATTTTCTCTATTCTTTTCTTTGTGTTCATCTAGATCGAGTGTGTGCGTTGTTGTGCGATCCTAACAACTGGTATCAGAGCTAACGACTGATATCGATCCTAACATTTCTTGCTCCAAAAATCTATTCGACAATGTACCTTAGCTCGAGGTGGACTATCGTTGCTACTCTTATGACTTAGTCAGCTTGCGTTGCCACAATAGTGAATGACTTGTATCATGGGTTGAGGCATTGCCTCGTAAAATATGATAGAATTATATGACTTTCCACATGGTCATAAAGTCACTCTGGGACGGGAGGAAAGACTATGTACTTGCTAGCTACTGAGTTACTTATATGGTCTCTTACCTCCTCTTTGGATAGATTAACAACTTAGAGGCATTAACAACTTAGAGGCATTATTCAAGAGACCCTTGGCCATTTCCACTAGATAAATGCATCTGGTTGTCTCAATGCATTATAATATCTAGCCAAGTTCTAGCTCAACGGTACCACTCCTATGCTCCTACCTCTTGGTAGGGTGCTAAAAGATCTAACCAAGGTCGCTTATATAACTAATGGCATATCAGAGGATATAGGAAGCAGAGGCACTGGTGCACCATTCACATTGCTAATAGGTCTATTAAGATTTCTTAGTTATCTTTGCATGTAACGACCCTAAATTTCCACATATTCAAAGTCGTTATTAACGTCTCATGCTCATCTATAATGCTGAAATATAACTTTTACATGAACATCATTTATAATGTAAACTTCAAAAAATGCTTAAAACAGGTTCTTCTCTGGAAAATACAGTCATAGTCTTCCGTGTTTAAATATGAAATACTAAAATTTAGAGAAAATAAAAACAAATACAAAATAGTTTAAAACAATGAAATGCAAAACAACTTATTCTAACTTAAAGACTAGGAATTTAAATATGAGTCTACCCTATGCACGTGCCACAATCTCTGCTCGCGATGCTGTCGTCCTCCGTACAAGTGCTCCTTGCCTTTACTTAAAAAATGATGTGGCACGCGGCCTGAGTATTTCAAAGAATACTCAGTAACACTATAGGGGGCCATGCAAATGCAAACACATGCAATCATGATTTAGGAACCTATCTCTAATCATCATAAGAGTGGCCTCCAGTCTCGAACAAATTGAATGTGTAGTACTTCCCTACACATGACTCACACGTGCGTGTGGGAATCCTCAGGGTGCTCGCACACCCCCTGAACCCTCTGGTCAAGTTAATCTGTAGCGACGTTCAGAGGTCAGCGGAACCCCCTAGTGTCATGCGCCTCATGAACACCCTCATCTGTGCGCATTCGCACTCGTGCACATTCGCACTCATCATCGTACTGTGCGCGTCCGCACTCATCATCTCTAGAGGAAGTAGCCCTATGCTTATGAACATACAATATGCATGAGGTCCCCCTAAATCCATCATAACGTCTCTTTTGACACAACCCTCTAGTCTCATCTCTTTGTTACTCTAGATAAAACATACTCGTGGATATTTATATTAATATCATTTTCATGCTCTTAGGGTTGTGTCTTATGTCAATCTAACGACATGATGCAATATGGCACTCATCATATAGCATGCTCAATATGGAAAATATCATCATATTAAGGTAAACGTCACCCAATCATCATACTCATCATATTGCCATAAAGTGCATCAAGCATACCAAGTACGTCATTCATATAACATCATGATATCATTATCTAACGTCATCAAGTCATCATATAATATCATCACATCATCATCTAACGTCATCATGTCATCACATAACATTACCACATCATCATATCATCATCTAAAGTCATCACGTTATCACATAGCATTATCACATCATCATATAACATCACCGCATCACTATCTAACGTCATCACATCGTCATACAACAACAACACATCATCATACAATAGCAACACATCATCATCTAACGTCATCACATCGTCATACAACAACAACACATCATCATACAATAGCAACACATCATCATCTAACGTCATCACGTCATCACGTCATCACATAACATGAAGCATAAATGACACGTGCAAGGGCCACTGGACACGTGTCGTCATACATAAGACAAATCTTTCGACCGAGCCGATAGTAAGGTCACTTACTTAATTAGCTTAAGTTGTTGTCACAAATTTATCCTTAATGAACGTTTGATTCTATTCTTTGAAATCCAAGTCAATCTATCTGAGTTCATGACATTAGTTTCAAGTTCGAACTTTTATAAAATTATTTATCTAATTTATATTGGCATATGTGTTAAACATCATGCGAACATTAAAGGCTTTGCATGGATAAAGTTTTAAATGTTTATTTATGTTTGTTATAATTTCATTTTCATGCCATCCATTTGAAATTCTTTAACATTTACCATATATTCTTACCGTGTGTTTGTGCAGATAATCAATTTTTTTCACCAAATCTTCTATTTTACTCTGTATTTACTTCCAATCTTTCATTTTTTTTTCTCTGTTTTGTATTACTTTTTTTTTTTCTTTTAACTCTATTGATAAATTTGACCTCATTGATTCTAGTTATTTCTATAGCCTAACATAATAATTAAAATCTATTAAATAAGTAATAGATCTGATTCTGAATAATTAGATAAAGGAAAAGGAAATTTGATTTTTTGGCTTGATTTCTTGTAATACCATTGAATATAGAAAGGAGATCTCAAAAATTACTTACCTTATTAACCAAGCATGATCTCTCTCCAATTCAATCTCCAACATTGTCTCTCCAATTAAATCTCCATCTCTCCCAGTTAATCTTGTTGTTGGTATTTTTTTTAAAAATTATTGTAGGAACCACCTGTGTATTTTGTATTCTCAATTTTGACTGACTAGTTGGTTGAGGAGAGATACTTGAGAGAGAAAGAGGGGTCAGTGAGAGTAATTGAGGGAAAATTATTATTTTTATTATTTTTACTATTTAATTATTAATTATTATTCCTTTTTCTTGTACCATTGTTACATTGCTGTCAGGGAGGTTTACTAGGTTCTTAGGATATCTAGGAGGTTTAAATTTTAAATCACATTTCGAGACCGCCTGAGACAAGCTCTCTAGGGATAGTCAATGTAATAGCAGTACAGCTGGCATTAAGTGGGGAGAGCGAAAGGTCAAGTTGTATACTCTTTTACGGTTAAAAAAAGAAGAAAGGAAACTAAAGACAGCAAAGAGGAAAAAGTAGAGAAAAAAGAAAAAAAAAAGAAAGAAAGAAAAAGAAAAACAGAAGAGGGGGGTGGAGCGGGGGAGATGAATGACGAAGCTTGAAGCGCTCGTCAACAATGGTGGGGCCGAACGATTGAGGAAGGGAGAACGCCGATGGTAAGCCCTAGTAGTGTGATTTTCATTGCTCCTTTCCAAAAACCCTAATACGTTTCACTAGGTCTGTGTACCTAGGTTATGGTCGAGGGAAGTTGATGAGTCCTCGTGAAGGAGAAGACATGGGGTGCTGAGAGGAAAGAAAGATCAAGAAGAAGATGGGAAGAAGAGGCCGAAAATCGTGGGGCACGGCCTGGCCCAACCCGACCCACCTATACAGAACCGAAACCAGAATTTTTCTTTTCATTTCGACCATTTGATTTGTCTTTATTCAGATTTGGGTACTTGACTCACACATTTCATAATGCCTCTTATTTATAGGAAAATTTTAATTAGCTTAGTGAGTGTCCACTTGAAGACTCGATAAAGTTTTGGGAAGTCTACGATCAGGTAAGTAACCATATGGAGCAAGTTTCTAAGTAATTTCTTGTAGGCGTTGGTTTGGGTTTCTGGCAAATAATTTAGTACCGTATTTAGGGATGGATAAATTTAGTTCATGGAGGTGGTACTTCGATAATGTGTTTGGTTATACTTTGATTGTCGTTATGGTTATATAGTTTTGTTGGCATGAATATGAAATTTCTAATAGGTCTCTTGAATGGTATGTTTTTATGTTGTGCTTAGTGGGACGAGCCATGGTCTTTTTACTGATCTAGCCGAGCGGCATAGTGACAGGTAGTTACTGTTCTTGAGACAGGTAGTTTTACTAATCTGAGCCGACAAGGGCTTAAGTGAAACCACACCCTAAATTTCCACATATCCAGAGTTGCCACTAATGTCTCTTGTTCATCTCTAATGTAGAATATAACTCTAAAAATGCTTATCTTTATTAGCGGAAAAATTTAAAACTTCAGAATACTTTAAAACACTAGAAAACACTATCGGACACTATCGGACTTATGTGTTTCAAACATCATGCTTGTAACAACGGGGAAAAATAAAATAAAATAATAATAATAATAATAATAATAATAAATAAATAAATAAATAAAAAAACATTTGGTAACGATTCCTCCTCCTTCCTTCAATCTCTCACCGCTCCTTCTCTAAAAATAAATCGGCCAACAAATCAGTAATTCATTTTTCTGTAAAAACAACTGCAGATTTACCGGTATCACAATTTCTTCCTTCCTACAAAACAAATAAAATTAAAAAAAAAAAAACTTAAGCAGATTTAGTTCCGCCTACAAGATATGTCATTTGAAGAGGTCAAGAGTGGTATGTTAAATCTTGCTTTTATTTTATTAAGTAATATTAATTTAGTTACCGTTACAATTATTTAGTTTTGAATTAGAGATTAAATGAAAAGAATTTTGTATGAGTTTTAGGAAATTACAACCAATTATATTTTAGATCTCTCTGAATTGTTGTAATGATTTAGGTTGTCAATAATTTTATATGAATTATAGAAAAAGAATATAACCAAATCCATGGATTAAATTAAAAGTAAAAAATATAATTGTTAACTAAATAAGGAGGAAGATAAAAGAAATAAGAAAAAAAAAATATAGAGATGAAAATCTAGAATAGTGTTAACTGAACAGAAAGAAAGAAAATAAAATAAAATAAAATAAAAAGGGAAGATTTGGAAGTAAGAATAGATTAACAAAATTGGCCAATAATATCTCTTGTGAAAATAATTAAAGAGGAAGAGGGAAGATTGAGGAAAGATTTGTTGAACAGAATTTAAAAAATAAAACACAAAATATCAGATGGCAAGGAACATCATTAAATTTTAGTCTAACAGGCCAATCTAAAATAGAGAAATAATTTTACAGAGCTCAAACTTGAAACCGAATGGGCTCACATAGGTTGACTTGGATTTCAATAGACTTTCATTAAGAATAACGACGGAACGTTAGCCTAAGCTAACCAGGTAAGTGACCTTACTATCGGCATGATTATATTTGATGTTGACACATACCCTGTGGTTCTGTACATGTCATATATATTGATATGTGTGAATTGTCTATGGATCGATATGCTTCCTATATGTTTTGTATAGGTTATAATATGTGAATTGTATGATAATAATTACGGTACGATGTGTTCAAGAATATGTTTGAGATAGGATACAAGAAGGATGCACAAAACGAAATGTAACGATAGGAGTAAAATACATTCATGAAACGTTAAAGTTAGGTTACATACCGGAGTGATATGGATAAGAGAGATTGATGGAAGAATATGGTTAGGTTACAGGTAGAAAGGGATAGGTTTGTGATAGATTGATAAAACGATAGTGTTAGGATTTATAGAACAATAACGTAAGGTTAAGTTCTTGTGATGATATGACTAAGGTACGTTCACGTAATGATATGTCTGTGATAGGTATAAGAACGTTAAGGCTATGATAAGTTAGAGAACGATATGACTACGAAGTGTTTACGTTATGACTTGTTTATGATATGATACATTGTGATGCAATATGTCGTGGTATGATTTGTATATGATGAAATGTTATGTTAAAAGCATAGAACGTTATGTTAGGTCTCTTAAATCGAGTGTATACAGCATGATATGAATGACATGAAATTACGATAAATGGCTGAAATATAACCCATTAGAATTATGTATGATTTGAGAACTGAAGAATGAGAAACGATATGATATGAATGATGAACGATATCTGAAACGATATGAAAAATGATATGATATGTACATAATGCTAGCGGGGTTGTATTAAAGGATAATGAAAATGGAAAAGTTTTGGGACCTCATGCATTATGTGTGCTCATGCATTTGGAGGGATACCCCTATCCCATCACGAGGGTACGGACACGTACATCCAATGGCAGGACAACGATTGTTATGCTTTGCATAGCGCTGCCATGATGGTTACTAGTTCTAGCGGGTGTCCGGCCTAAGGGACTCCCAGAGTATGCCCACCGGATAAGAAAAGTGGTCCAGCTGTGTGCGAACTAGCTAGTGAGCCCATACTCGCACGTATGGGCTGTGTGTAGAGTATATGGTACACATCCAAAATTATCCGTTAGGACAGCACCGTAGGAAAAACAAAAAAAAATGAAATGAAAGATTGGTTAGCAGAGCCCCATAGTGATGAGGGCGAATGCGCACAAGTGTGAATGCACACAGATGAGGGTGCTCACGAGGCGCATGACACTATGGGGTTCCGCTGACATCTGGAAGTCACTACAGATTAGCTTGACCAGAGGGTTCAGGGGGTGTGCAAGTGCCCTGGGGATTCACACTCGCACATGTGAGTCGTGTGTAGGGAAGTACTACACATCCAATTTATCCGAGACTGAAGGTCACCCTTATGATTATTAGAGATAGGTCCTTAATTCATGATTGCATGTGTTTACAGTAGCATGACCCCTATAGTGGAGTTACTTACTGAGTATTTCTTCGATTATTCGAAATACTCAGGTCGTGTGCCACATTGCTTTTTAGGTAAAGCCAAGACGCCCATGTACGGTTGACAGCGACGTCGTGATTAGAGACTGTGGCTCGTGCATAGGATAGTTGCATATTTGAAATTCCTAGTCTTGGTTAGGATAGGGTATTTGCATTTCATTTATTTAAATTATTTAATTTGTAATTGTTTTTATCTTATTTTGAATTCAGCATTGTAACGACTTGAAATTTTCTACTTAATTTAAGGTCGGTACCGTATACGTACCATAAACATTGAATGCGGAAGACTTCATTTAAATTCCATAAAACATAACCTTTATCTTAAAACACAGCCATTGTAACGCCCCTACTAATTTTCTTCAACTTAATTAGTGACGTCACCCATGCATACTTATCTCAGCGGAAGCTCATCATAAATAACCTTGAAAGAGTCTTTCATAAATATTCATGAATCCAAAACAAACCTAAACTCCGAAAATAATTCTTCAATACTGAATTCTAAATAAATCCAAAGGAAACAATACTCAATGTAAAACTTAAAATAGTCTAATAAGAGTAAACTCCTAAAAATATCCCGTCTCCAACTTCCATGGTGGCCTCAACTCCGCCGTCAACTGTACATTGGCGCCTTGCCTTTACCTGAAAAATGTAGGTAGCACATGGCTTGAGTATTTTATGAAATACTCAGTAAGTTACCCCACTGTTGGGGTTAGGAATGCAAACACATGCAACATATGAGCGGACCTAACTTTTCATAAACTTTTCATAGCCTTGGACGCTTTTCTATTCCGGGTAGGGTTGGATGTGTGGTACTCCTTCACACATGGCCCATGTACGTGTACATGAACCCACCAGGCGGGCTCATAAACATACCCCCTGGGCCTGACTTGGTCGGGCACAACGTCTTACACGTAGCCGAACACCACAGAACAGAAAAGGGCCCGCATGATATCATGGCGAACATAAATATCGTATTTCATTCTTTCGTATCATAAAGGGGAAGAATCCCGATGCACGTGACATACATATATGCATGAGGTCCCTTAACATATCTAACATGACATTACATAAGCAGTGCTAACATCGCATTTACGTTTCTTACATTACATGGCATCTCACATGACTTACATTACATGGCATATTACATAAACATTCCAGTTGCATAAACATCTCACGACATGACTCGATAATTCTACGTGTATCTATGGCATCCATCAACATATTCATGGCATATAATACTAACATCTCATTCATGATATAAACATAAACAGTCAACAGTCAACACAAGTTCATACATCACATAACATACACAATCTACGGTCAACACAATCTATACATCACATAATCATATCACATAAAATATGGTGCATGCAGGGGCCACAGGGCACGCACCATCATACAACACGTAGAAAACTAACTCCAACAGTAAGGTCACTTACCTCGATGGTCTTGGTTGAAGTCACTCTCAACGAGCTAGTCCCAGCGGTTAAATACGCCCTATGATAACCACATAAGAATTTAGAACCTTTCATAAGGTACCCTAGCTAAACCTCATGCTATTTATCAAAATAAACCCCTGGCCTAATCTGTCTTTAACGTTTAGGGACCATACTGACCTCGGATGGTAAAACTGAGGGCCAAAAACCTTGGAATCGATATATTATAGTGATACCGATTCACCAAGCCAAGCTGCTGAGCAGACCAATTAAGCCGCCAAGCCGAGCTGCGGGATTTGACGGAGCTGAGCCGCGGGTTTGGACGGAGCCAAGCCGCGGGATTTGACAGAGCCGAGC